CTTTTTCTCCTCCTCTTCTCTCCGTCTTATATGGCAAATTTGAGAGTAGGTACACTTAACATTAATGGGGGTAGGGATAGGGAAAGGCATGCAGTTGTGGAGCTTAGCAAGAACAAAAACATTGATGTGTTCTTTTTGCAGGAAACACATAGCACTATAGATAATGAGACAGAATCGGGAACGAGTTGGAGTGGGCAGGCTTTTTTAAGTCATGGTACTAACCTCAGTGCGGGTGTAGCAATTTTATTTTCTAGGTACCTTCAACTGTCACATGTTTCTGTCTGTGAGATAGAGCAGGGAAGGGCACAGGTAGTAAAAGCAACCATCAAGGGAATATCTTTTGCTTTTATGAATGTATACGCCCATAACTCAGCTGCGGGTCGTGTGCGATTACTTCGTAAAATTAATGATGAGTTATCAAAATTAAATAGTGGTTCAATAATAGTGGTGGGAGGGGACTGGAATTGCACAACCCACCCTTCAGTTAACAGAAACACAGGAGGAGCCTCACCCACCTTCGGGCTCACTTTTGTCTACAATCATTCTTCAGAATGATTTGACTGATGTGTGGAGAAAGCTCCATCCCACAACCAGACAGTATACATATGTAAAAGTTTCTGAGAGCAATGTGAAGGCAGCTAGGCTTGATAGATTATATATCAACCAGATGTATAATAATAGACTAGTTAAAGCAGAGATTTCACCTGTTGGTTTTTCGAATCATCATTTAGTAACTGCAGATATTTCTTTATTGATGCATTCTAACATCTGTTCGCACTGGCACTTTAACCTGCAGCTGATTCATGACAAAGAGTTCTGTTGAGCTTTTTCTGATTTCTGGTGCCACTGGAAACAAAGGAAAACAGACTTTTGCAATTTGGCGCAATGGTAGGAGGTGGGGAAAACACAGATTAAGCTTTTTTGTCACCAATACACATCACATGCAACGGCCACTGTTAAAGACTACTTTGAGGACTTAGAACGAGAGCTCAAGAGGCTAGAGACTGAGATTATAAGTGGGACAGATAATACAAATAATACCTAGGACAGTAGGAGGAAGGCTTTGGGCAAGTTTCTTCACGAAAGAGCAAAGGGTGCTCTTATTAGGACTCGGATTTCTATCATTAAAGAAATAGATGCCCCAACAAGGTTCTTTTTTAAGCTGGAGAAAAGGGTTCGAGAGTCACACCAAATGTTGCACTTAAGGCTTCCAAATGGGAAGGTGACATCTGACTCAGTAGAAATGAGGAAGCTTGCCATTGACTTTTATGCCAGCCTCTTTAGTGCTGACACATGTGACCCTGAATGTGTAACGAAGATGCTGGTGGGGCTGCCACGGCTGGATGAGGCTGAATCGGCTGTGTTGGAGTCTGCTATTTCCTTTGAGGAGATGTCTTCAGCGGTTCAACAACTCAACGGTGGTCGGTTATCAGGAGTTGATGGTCTTCCTGTGGAATCTTACCAGGAATTCTGGTTGCTGCTAGGAGAGGACATTCATGAGGTTTTCACATACTGTATGACCAATGGGATCTTGCTAACAAGTTGCACAAGGGCAGTTTTGACTTTACTGCCAAAGAAAGGGGACCTGGGCTTGCTCAAAAATTGGAGGCCTGTCTCTTTGCTTTGTACGGACTACAAGATTCTTGCAAAATGTCTTTCTAACAGGTTGAAGACCTGTATTGACATGATTGTTGATGTGGATCAAGCATACTGTGTCCCTGAAAGAACTATTATGGACAACTTGTTTTTAATTCGAGACATTATTGATCTGGCCAAGCTCAAGGACTTGGATGTGGGGTTTTTATCTCTGGATCAAGAAAAGGCTTTTGATAGAGTTGATCACCACTATTTGTTTAAAACTTTAGAAGCTTTTGGGTTTGGGAACATTTTCATTTCTTGGATCCAATTGTTTTATTCAAATACTGCTGTCATGTTAAAGGTGGGGAGAGGGTTAAGTCGGCCTGTTCCAGCTCAGAGGGGCATCAGGCAGGGATGCCCTCTTTCTGGTATGTTGTATACGCTAGCCATTGAACCCCTTTTACACCTTAGATAGGGACTCTCAGGTTTTACCTTTGACGAAGCAGGAAGTCCAGTAAAATTGTCAGCTTATGCTGATGATGTTATGGTTTTTATAACTGGTCAAAGTGATATTGAAACACTCAGACAGACACTGGACTTATATGAGCGAGCATCCTCCGCAAAGGTTAACTAGTCAAAGTGTGAAGGTTTCCTTTTGGGAGGGTGGGTTGATAAAGAGGAGCCAGTGTTACTGGCAGAATTACAGTGGAACAGGGAGGGACTGAAGTGTTTGGGAGTGTTTTTGGGAACTGATGCTTTTCAGGGGAAGAACTGGGAGGGTGTTGTTGAAAAAATTGCTGCCCGGTTGTCTCGATGGACTTGGGTCCTGCCACAGTTGTCTTACAGGGGAAGGACTTTGGTTGTTAACAACTTGGCCGCTTCTGTACTCTGGCATCGTGCCGCTGTTGTTGAACCTCCAGCCTCTCTTATCAAGGGGATACAAAAAAGACTGGTTACTTTCTTTTGGAGAGGGTTCCACTGGATCAGGTCTGCTGTGCTGTCTCTACCTGTGTCAGAGGGGTTCAAAGTTTGATTGACCTTCGCAGCCGTATCGCAGCGTTCCGTCTTCAGACAGCACAGCGTTATCTTTATCAAAGACAACAAGCACCCTGGTTCAAGACTGCATCTACGCTGCTTCACAGAATAAAGGACCTTACATATGACAGTCAAAGGAGCTTGCAAAGAAAAGCGTCTGGACTTCTTTAAGTTACTTGAAGACGTTTCACCTCTCATCCGAGAAGCTTCTTCAGTTCTAAGGTCAAATGGTGGAGAGTCCCAGATATAAACCTAGTGGGAGTTTCCCCCCACAGAGGGACAAAAGGACCCCCTGATGATCCTCTAATCGCCTGAGCCAAGGTGTGAAACTGGGTGTGGGTCCCAATCAGCCAGAGTTTCGGTTGTGTGTATTTTGTGAAACCTGGCCCCACCTTATCATGCAAATTCCTGAGGTCAGATGGCCCAGGATGTGAGTGGGCGTTAAGGTGTCTGGGAAGGGATCTCAAAACTGGATTATAGATGGCAGAGAGTTGGTGTCGTAAACCCCCGCCTCTGTTCAAAGATGGTCGCTCACAGTGGACATAGATGGCTCCTTTCACTCCTCTTTCAAACCATCTGTCCTCTCTGTCCTCTCTCCTCTCTGAAAGAGGAGTGAAAGGAGCCATCTATGTCCACTGTGAGCGACCATCTTTGAACAGAGGCGGGGGTTTACGACACCAACTCTCTGCCATCTATAATCCAGTTTTGAGATCCCTTCCCAGACGCCAGTTGGGGAACAGGATGAGGAGGGAGGCTCTCTTCTTTCCTTTCGAACACCTGTTCTGGGTGACCTGTCAAAGATCTCTAAGAAGGCTATATATGAGGTGGCTGTAAAGGTGCTGAACAGGGGATTGTTGGCTGGTGTTCTGGAGTCAAAGTGGTCAGGTGTGTTGGCTCCGGGGTCATTTCCAAGGGGGAGCTGGAGGTCCCTGTACAAACCTCCTATGGAGAAACGCAGTGCGGATCTCCAGTGGAGAATAGTGCATGGGGCCATGGCTACGAACAGACACGTGGCACATATGGATCCACGAACAGGGAACCACTGTCCTTTCTGTCTGACTGAGGAAATACTGCAGCACCTGTGGCTAGGTTGTTCCAGGCTAGCTGGCCTTTTTTATTGCTGCGGCAGTGGCTTGCTGGCCATGGGAGTGCTTTGGAGGAGGGTCTCTTTATCCTGGGTCCGAGGTACTCTGCAGCGCAGCGTAGGAAGGTTTGCTTGATTGCTTGCTTAATTTTTTAATAGGTCAGGCTAAGATGAGTATATGGCTCACGAGGAGGAACAAAATGAAGGGAACAGGATCTGTTAATTTAGAGATTATGTTTAAAGGGTTAGTAGGTGCACGTTTGAAAGTTTGTTTATTACAAGATGGTGTCCAACATTGTAGAGTTTGTCCCTATTTGGGGCATTAATAGAGTTTTGTGTAATATCACTGATGATGATTTAGTTTTGAATTTTTGAAGAAAGCCCAATGGAGTGTCTTCTGGTTTTGTTTTTCTTTTTTCGTGTTTATTGTATTTGGGTGGGGTTGATGGTGGGAGGGGAGGGTTGAAGAATGCCATATGTTGATTTGGCATTGTTTTTTGGTTATGGTTGTGAGTTGAAGTATTGATGTAATAAAGGTGTGTTAAAGGTCAAAGGTCTCTTCTCTTCTCTTCTCTTCTCTTCTCTTCTCTTCTCTTCTCTTCTCATGTACAGTTAATTCCACAGATGTGTGTATGCTTTGGTTCTAGATCAATGTCTCATAGTTGGGCATCAACCCAAGAGAGTTTTAACGGCCTGTCCTGTCTTTTCTTTTCTTTTTTTTTGGCAACATCTCTTTCCTTTAGCCATCCCTAAACTATTACATCCCTTCTTCTCTCCTTTTCCACCCCACTCAATACTCCCCTGCAGTCTTGTTTCTTTTGTCTCCGCTGCTGTCACAGCCTCTCAGGGTGAGGACACTGGCCAGGCTGCTAAGAGCTTTGAACAGGACATGGCACTGGTGTTGGGGAAGCTGGGCAGGCTTGGCTATTCATCCAAATAATGCTCTTTGCATCTTCTACTTTTTTTTTTGCTGTGGTTGGCTCTTCTTTCTCCCCTTGCCATCATCAAAAATTTTCTACATGTAGCCTTGTGTCTTGCATGGTTGCCTGTTTCTATTAACTTGCTCTGTTTAGTCTAAGAGATGTTTTCAATGGGTTTTCAGTAACTCAGGAGACCTTCAGCACAGATTTGGTTCTTTAATTGTGTTTAATTGCGTGCTTGGTAATTGTCCAATTCCTTCAGTTCATTCTCATTAATGTACCAGTTTCTTTAGCTGATATTTCTTGCAAATGGCTGTGTCATTTTGCATTGTGTGCATAATTTATGTGTAAGTGTTGTTCTGACTTTGATCTTTGTGTTGCAGGTTGTGCATTTCTCACCTACTGCGCCCGAGAGTCGGCCATAAAAGCCCAGAACGCCCTCCACGAACAGAAAACACTGCCAGGGGTAAGTGTCTGCCTCTCTCTCCGCCGCTTTTCACCCTCTTTCTTTTCTCTCTATGGTGGTCAGCCATGCCACCTGTACCCGGCTGCACATCAGCCGGAATTCTCCTTGTATAGTGTCAGAGATGAAAAACACTTTAGAAAGCAATTCAATCAATAGCTCAGCCTTTTGAAGGCCCGGTTTAAACTTTTTCATGTGTCTGTTCTCAAGGGGATATTGCCAGCATTGATCAGACCCACTCTGCCTCATACTTTTGAAGTAATAGCATAGAATGACATAGAAATAGAAAGCTCTGCATTTCTGGAAAGTCAAAAAGACAACGCGAAACGGAGTGTAGGTTTTAGTTTCATTTGTATTTGTTGAGGCAAACACAAGTTTGCACACATTTTTATTTCGCAGGAATAACATTTTGATGTTCATTTATATGCACGTATGCATTAGTGCAAAGCTTTTGTGTGAGTTTGTTCCTATGTTCCAACAGTGTAGGTGGATTGAGTGTCAACGCTGACATTGTGTCATGTGTCCTGCCCTCTTCATGCTCTGTCCAGGTAGCGCCCTCGCCACACTGGTCTAAACCAAATATTTCTAGTAGCCAGAATATGGCTGAGGCAGAATATCTTCTCTGTTGTGCTACATGTGGGCAACTTTGGACAGAAGCCCTGCCTGATTCTTCCAACAATGTCTGAAAGCCATATGTGAAAACAACCAGAGAGATGCTAATAATACAGGAGTGGGCAGAAGTGACTATCACAGAGGTAGTGCTGCTTCATGCGGTCAAGGCTGCATCGGGACAGTTCACTAGCTGGGCCCACGCCCTCAATTCAGGTTTGACAGCGTTTTGTCGTAGATAAAGGTGAATGGCTTAAATATGAATTGAACTGCGGTTTGGGGAAGGCCTCAGAGGGGACTGGCGACGGCTCCCGGGCCTGGCAGATCCCCATGTACTAATGAGAAGTGAAGAAGTAAAAGAATTGAAAAGGGGCAGGGAGGGTGAGGCACAAAAACGAGAACGAACAGCTCATTGAGCTGGGGGGTCCTATAAACAGGGAGTGCAGAATTATTAGGCAAGTTGTATTTTTGAGGAATAATTTTATTATTGAACAACAACCATGTTCTCAATGCACCCAAAAAACTCATTAATATCAAAGCTGAATGTTTTTGGAAGTAGTTTTTAGTTTGTTCTTAGTTTTAGCCATTTTAGGGGGATATCTGTGTGTGCAGGTGACTATTACTGTGCATAATTATTAGGCAACTTAACAAAAAACAAATATATACCCATTTCAATTATT